ATAAATGTTATTCCAGCTCATCCTGGGCTTCTCTTTGAGCCTTACCTGGATCATGACTGGAAAATAGGTAGTATAACTGTTTTTTAAATAGTGTTTGCATTTGCAGAAAATGCTGTTTGAGAAGGTTGGACATTTTAGTACTATTCCTATTATTTGGCCATTTATTAACTCCCTATCTATTTGCTTCTTCATTCACTTAAGGTTGCTTAGAAATCAGGTGTTCTGTTTTTTTTTTTTTTTTTTTTTTTTTGAGATGGAGTCTGGCTCTGTCGTCCAGGCTGGCTGGAGTGCAGTGGCACTATCTTAGCTCACTACAACCTTTGCCTCTTTGGTTCTAGTCATTCTCCTGCCTCAGCCTCCAAGTAGTTAGGATTATAGGCGCCTGCCTCCAGCTCTGCTAATTTTTGTATTTTTAGTAGAGACGGGATTTTACCATGTTGGCCAGGCTAGTCTTGAACTCCTGGCCTTAGGTGATCCACCCATCTGGGCCTCTCAAAGTGCTGAGATTATAGGTATGAGTCACTGCACCCAGACAGAAGCCAGGTATTCTAAAGGTGGCCTTTGCTTGAGTTCAGTATTGTTTTCATTGTAATATAATAACATTTTTTCCTCTAATTTCTACCTTAAAGAAGGCTTTGGTGTTTGTATAGAAGCATTTTAGATGAGTAATGTTTTTTTCTCCCTCTCCACTATTTGGAATTTAAATAAGCAAATCATTTTAGTATTTTGAAATATGCCAAATGAAGGGGAATTTTAATTATTGATGTCAGTTGGATTGTAATACTGATCAAAGGTATCATAAATAGAGAATATGATTTCCACCCTCAATTGTGAGGTCACAGTACCCTTATTTTGCTAAATGAAGTTAAATCTGACTCTGTGCCCTCACATCCCCAGGATGGAGAGAAATTCAACTTGGTCATATTTTTGAGAGATCATTCCCCTTCCTAGGGTCACACGACAAACAAGAGGAATTTGTAATGCCTAGAATATGAGAGGAAGAACCACATTCTGCAGTGCATCAAGTTGTTGACAAGACGCTCATTTTCTGAGCCGTATGATTATTCAGACGTGAGCAGTTCAATCCCTCCATGAGAAACATGAGTAGAATCCTCACAATACCATGGTTGTTAGTATTCTCCATCTCTCCAAGTATCCACATGCCACCCCATTGTAGATTCCAGTGGCTCTCAAGTCCATATTTCTCCATGTATTGTGAAGAACCACATCCCCCACTACTCTTAAGGAAAAATAAAAAGTCAAAACCAAAATAAACAAAACACCCATCTCTACTCTTCACCTCAAAGACTTTTTTCAGAAGTTGAAGCCCTTTTGGCCTTAACATTCCCTTAACTTCAGAACCACACCCTTCCATTTATGACAATTTAATTCAAAGCTTATTATATCTGACCCTAGAAAAAGGTAATCCTTCTTCCTCTAGGCCTCAAAGTCCAGCAAAACATTTCAAAAGGGTTGAGTGTGAGAAGGAAATAGTCCTCATTCTTTAAAATTCTTTTTAAGAGCAGGATCAAAACATAATATTATTTATATCTGTAAATTATCTCACCACTAATGGTACCAGGACTTCTTGTCACTAAAAGTAAGCTCTGTAATGCATTCCAGTGGAAAGTAGTGTTTACAGTGCACCTGAATTAGACTTGTGTGCATAGTAAGACAGGGCCATTGTTCTAAAATTAATAATGATTGGTAAGATTATATAAATTTATAATTAATGTTTCAAAACCTTGGGGGTTGGTGAGACTTAATTCCAGGTTTCTTTATTTCTGTAAGTAGCTTTGAGCCTTGCATACAATACAACATACTCTAAGTAGAATTTTTGCTTTAATGTTACCATCTGAAAAATATCTCTTGGTTGCAGCTTTAACACATTCCTCATACCTGACATAAAGTGCAACAAAGTTTTATTACTAGCATACCAGTCAGTACACTGCTGTTTAAGTTCTGGAAAAAAAAATAGGCAAACAGAAAACAACAGGACAACAAAACAAACTTTGTGGTCATTTTGTGATCATATAAAATGTTGTTCATTCTGATTTAAAAAAAAATAGCTATCTAACCATGATATGTTTTAGCATAGTTGCACAAAAAACCTAATTATTGTTACCAGAAGGAGAATGCTGAACAATGATATTTTGTCGGATAAAAGTTCCATTGTGGAACTCATTAACAGACACAGAAATATTTATGATGTTATAAAACTGCTGGAAAAAAGAAGACATTCAGTATAGTTTAGGATTTATTTGGACCTCAAACTACTTTTATGACGTTGAAATTCTTCTAGATTGTGTGTGGGGTAGCAAATGATGCTATTCCGTGTGGGTCCACAGAGTTTATATAACGTGCAAGGAACACCTTTGAAATGAGACTGAGAGGCCTTATAAGTCGATTTGATCACTTAGATATAATTTGCAGTGAATACTACATTCAACCTGCATAGCAAAGTGACACTGAAAGTCTGGACAAAGGAGAGGGTAATGTCCTAGTAATACAAACTTGAATGTCAGACCTCCATTTTAAAAATAGTTTATGAAAGCTATATTTACAGCAAAAGATACATAAGTGATCAAATCCATGTAAAGTTGTTTCAGTGTAAAGAAAATGTGTTTCTGTATGAGTCACAGAAGTTCTTCTTTATTAGAATTAGCATTATCCCCATCCCCTATAATTATCTGCTCTAAGGAACATTCTTGCTTTTCTCTTTAGCATCCCTTTCTCATTCGTCCTCATTTTGAAACAATGCTGACACAGTTCACTAACTCCCAGCTGTAGTGGTAGCCCCCACATATAATACTGCATTTCTTTTCCCCTGATGTAAGTATTGGGTTAATACTGGCCATGTGAACTAGGCAAGCCGGCTAGATAAACCTCAGGAAATGTCGTTAGAATACTGTAGCCAGAGCGCTTTCTCTACAAGTGGTGTAAACACTAGTTTCTACAACCGTAAGAGGAATTAATCTTAACTTTAGACTAAAACATATTTTCTAAAAATCAGAGTGATTGCAGTCAACTGGATCAACCAAATTCTGCTATAACTCTGGAATTGTAGTTATATCAGTCAATACATTTATGTTACTGTTAAGACAATTGGAGCTGCAATTTCTCCTGTTTGCATAAAACTTCACAGACTTAGCAACCAAATTATCATTTTTTAGAAAAGGAACATAAAATAAAATATTTTATTTTAAAATAAATGTTATTAAACAAGAGGAACAGAAAACATCAGTGGTTGCCAGGGGCCAGAGGAGACTGAATACAGGGGGGCAGAGAGGAATGTTTCTGGTGATGGATCTGTCCTGTCTATCAGTTGGTTACAAAACTATGCATTTGTCAAAGTTCCCAGACTAGACACTAAAAAGGGTGATTTTACTGAATGTAAATGATAAACCTTTTCTTGAAAAAGAAAAAGAGAGAGCAAGGAGCTAAACATCTACCCTAAGCAAGGTGCTTATAATAGTTTTTGTTTGTTTGTTTGTTTTTTGAGGAGTTTTGCTGTTGTTGCCCAGGCTGGAGTGCATTGGTGCGATCTTGGCTCACTACCACCTCTGACTTCTGGGTTCAGGTGATTCTCCTGCCCCAGCCTCCTGAGTAGCTGGGATTACATGTTCCTGCCACCATGCCTGGCTTTTTTTTTTTTTTTGTATTTCTAGTAGAGATGGTGTTTCACTATGTTGGTCAGGCTGGTCTCGAACTCCTGACCTCAGGTTATCCACTCATCTCGGACTCCCAAGGTGTTGGGATTATGGACATGAGCCACCGTGGAGCGCCAGTTTTCTCTTACAGACAGTAAAAACAAGTACCAGGGATTTAAAGCAAAGACAGTAAGAGAGAGATCTTCAATATAAAGTTTCAAAATGTGTGTGTGTGTGTGTGTGTGTGTGTGTGTGTGTGTGTGTGTTTTAGAACAACATGCTTATACAAGAGGTAAGACTTGCTTCCGTATTTGATTTGATAATTTGACTTGGAATTTTTCGATGGAAGCGTCAGCATGATTATTTTTTAAATTTCACAAAATTTGCAGGCAGTAAGCAAAGCCTTAGAGGCATCGAGGACTATAACCCTATAAAGCATTTTACTGTAAAGAGATGTACATATTCTTAAAAGAAAAGTATATTCCTTCATAGTAGAAAATAATAGTTGAACAAATAGTCAACCTGCGTTAAAAAATGAAAATTCAAACGTAACATAATACTTATAAACTATTTATTTAGCTAAAACTGATTCAAGCTGTTTGTAAGAACTGATTCCAAAATATACATATATGAAAGCATATAACTGATATGTAGAAGCTCTTCAAAATCTACTGTAAATTTAAAGGTTAAAATTGTCCTCACGGTACGGTGGCTCATGCCAATAATCTCAACACATTAGGAGGCCGAGGACGGTGGATCACCTGAGGTCAGGAGTTCGCGACCTGTCTGGCCAACATGGGGATCCCCCCATCTCTACTAAAAATACAAAACTTAGACAGGTGAGGTGGTCAGTGCCTGTAATCCCAGCTACTTGGGAGGCTGAGGCAAGAGAATAAGTTGAACCTGGGAGGCGGAGGTTCCAGGGAGCCCAGATCGTGCCACTGCACTCCAGCCTGAGCGAGAGAGCAAGACTGTCTCAAAAAAAANAAAAAAAAAAAAAAAAAAAAAAAAAAAAAAAAAAAAAAAAAAAAAAAAAAAAAAAAAAAAAAAAAAAGAAAGAAAGAAAAGGAAAGAAAAGAAAAAAAGAAAATGGTCCTTGCAGTTTGAAGCTGCAGCAGATCAGCTGGCAATGACTACAGGTATCTGCTGCTTTCTTAGTGCCTGAGCTGCAAAGCAGACCTGTCAAGGAGGGGCTGCTGTCTGGGTCACTTTCCCTCTGGTGTAGATGCAGGAGGAGCTCAATCTTCCATGCACTGGAAGTCTGTGAAGAAGTGAAGACACTGAAGTCGCGCAGGGTTGTGTTTACTTGGAGGCAGTGGAGCGGGTCCAGGGCAGTCGTCCTTTGCCAGGTTAGTTTTTAAAGCACTTTTTTGGTTTAGGGTTCAGCTTCGCATGGTCACTTTCCTTATCATTGCCATTCTTTTCATCTTCTTCCCTCTTTTCCTCTTTAAGCATTTTCAGGTATTTACTAGCCGAAATCTTCTTTTGCAATATATCTGCAAGAAATGGAAAAGTTTCTGATTCCTCTGCAGTACTTGCTAAGTCACTGTAAGTCAGGGTTTTCTCTTCCTTTCCACTGCCATGTCTCTATGAATAGGGGGCTAGATATTGAACAGAGTTCCTCCGTGGAAGTGAGCACCAGTGCCTCCTGGTTGATGCTGGACACCTCAGGGGAGCTCTTCAAGATGACACGGATGTGGGACAGGTGCAGCCAGAGGAGCTGCTTCTTTCCTAGCCTTTCTTTGTCCAGGACCACCTCTGTCGTCTTCCCACCCCTGCGGCAGTGCAGGGAAGTGGCTGACTGGCCAGCCGGTGGGTGCCGGGCCTGTACAGCATATTACTACACTGAATACTGTAGGCAATTGTAACACAGTGGTATTTGTATATCTAAACATATCTAAACATAGAAAAGGCACAGTAAAAATATGATGTAAAAGATAAAAGTGGTGTATAGGGGCACTTCCCATGAATGGTGCTTGCAGGAATGGAGGGTGCTCTGGGTGAGTCAGTTTACATTCACTGGATGAGTGAATATAAAAGTCTAGGATATGACTACATATGATCATAGACTTTATAAACACTGTAGATTTAGGCTCACTAAATTTCTAAAAAAAATTTTTTTTCAATGATAAATTCATTTTAATGTATTGTTTCTTTTTTACTTTTTAAACTTTTAATCTTGATTTTTTTTTTCTTTTTGTAAGACAGAGTCTCACTCTGTCTCCAGGCTGGAGTGCAATGGCGTGATCTCGGCTCACTGCAACCTCCACCTCCTGGGTTCAAGCGATTATCCTGCCTCAGCCTTCCAAGTAGCTAGGACTACAGGCATGCGCCACCACACCCAGCCAATTTTTGTATTTTTAGGAGAGACGGGGTTTCACCATGTTGGCCAGGGTGGTCTCAATCTCTTGACCTGGTGATCCCACTGCCTTGGCCTGCCAAAGTTCTGAGATTACAGGTGTGATCAGTGGGGCCACAGGGCCTGGCTGAAACTTTTTGACTTTGTAAAAACACTGGGCTTAAAACAGAAATGCCTTGTACAGCTTTTCAAAAATATTTTCTTTTAAAAATATTCTTCTATAAGCTTTTTTCTATTTTAAAAATTATTTTTACTTAGCTTTTTAAACGTTTTGTTGTTGTTGTTTTTATTGTTAAAAGTTTAACAAAACAAAGACCCAAACACACACATTAACCTAGACCTACAATAGAGTGAGAATCATCAGTATCAGTCTCTTCAGTCTCTTCATCTTGTCCTGCTGGAAGGTCTTCAGGGACAATAACATACATGGAACTGTCATCTCCTGTGACAACAATGGCTTCTTCTGGAATATTTCTTGAAAGACTTAAAGGCAACTTAAAAAAAAAAAAAAAAGAAGGTGTACATGATAAAATAATAAAAAGTACAGCATAGTAAGTACATAAATCAGTAACATAGTTGTATATTATCATTATTAAGTATGATGAACTATACATAATTGTATGCGCTATACTTTCATAAAACTAGTAGCATAGTAGGTTGTTTATATCAGCATTACCATAGACACATGAGTAATGCATCATGTTACAATATTACAGTTACAACCGTACTAGGTTATAGAAATTTTTCAGTTCCATTATAATTTTATAGAATCACAAAGTTATATGTTATCTATTGTCGACTGAGAAATCATTATCTGATGCGTAACTGTACATTTGCTTATTCTTTCCTTGTGTTAACAATTATTGTTAGAAATGTAATATTTATTTCTAAAGTTAGACTATTCTGTCTTTAATATTGTTTGGTTTGGCTTGGCTATTTTAGAAACCCTTAAAGATAATTGCTCTATTAAAATTTTTTAATAAATTGTCTTTGCCATATTCCAGAATAAAATTACTAGAGAGTAAATTTTTTTATGTTCCTTATAGGTCTACGTTGGAAACAATGGCAGATTCCTGGCCTTTCGGGTTACCTCATTTCTATCAACAAAGTTACATCATAGAAAACGAATTCAGAAGGTCAGAGAAATGTCTAGTCTGGTCAAGTAGGAAAGGTAACCAATTCTCTAAAAACTGATCTCAACAGTACAAACTGTATTCCCCAGGTCTTCATGGTCTGTGGTTTCAAAATGTGTCATTTAAAAAATAATATTTAAAAATTTACTGGCTCCTGACACCTTCTGCAAAATATAGTACATTAGGCCTTCCAAAATTCATTTTCACACATCTGTGTGTCTCTGAAGTGTTCTCACATATGTTCCCAAAGTTTCCTCCAAGATTCTTCAGTTCTCTTCCCCTCATCAATGTCAGACACTTCTGAAACTATTCTATGGCAGAACCTTTGCCATTTCCTGATGCAAGTGCCATATGTGAGAACATCTAGTTACTTTCTAATGTTTCCCATAATATAGTCATATCATGATCCAAGCTAATTTGGGGCAGAGCAGTAGGGGGTGGCAAGTATCTAAAATGGCACAAATTGTGCCATTCTCTCTTACAGAAATTCTAGCAAATGAACTCCTCCATTATCTTCCTATCTCTCTAAAGTATTAATCAGTGGATTGGAACCCAAGTGGACAGATAGCACACTCTCCTCTTCTCTGGCCTTAAAACAAACCATCTACCAAGCAACCGGCCCACTAATCGTTGCCAATGAAAGCAACATTGTCTCCCTCCTATGTTTTTATGCAGCTCAACTCTCAGGGTCTCTGCCTAACAGTTCATCTCTTATTCTAACATTCATCTGAATCTTGATTAAGCTTAGGAAAGTATGGCCTATGTGTACTGGCATATGTGTACCTCCTCTTCAAATTCATCCTCTCCCCTTCTCCACCCTACTTTTTGCCTCAGGTGGCTGCTCTGTATAAACTACATCAATAGGCTTCCTCCACTCTGCCTTTCAGTTGACCTACACCAACAAGGAGCCTGCAGAAAGGAGAAAGCAGAGTGAGGTCAGAATATTTCCCCCTCTGGCTTCCTTCCTGATAGGTGAGCTCAGGTGATCTGAACGCTTTTACTAAAGGTCACTGTATCTTTCTAGGTGACCATCTCTAACTGACCCTCTCCTGTATTCAGGGACTGAACTGCTTCCTCAGCCTAAGGATGTCAACAGCTCTGCTGCTAGTAACCTTGAATTATTCCACCGGCTTTTATATTTTCACTTACACATATATCATAAGTAAAATATTCTTGGATCAGCCTGTCTGAATATGCCGTCTGTTTTTGTTTTCTGTGGGGACCCAGACACAGAGCAATTGGTATTGCAAGTGGCCCTCCAAAACAGAACCTCACAGTAGGATTCAGAAGAATTAGGTTGCTAGAGATATACTCCTTACAAAAAGAGGGGATGAGACATGGGAAAATTTTGGCAGGTGAAGGCATCATAATTACCAGCATTCATTTTCGCTGATTATGGCATAGGATAAAGAGGGATTTTAGGGAAATCAGGTTTCATTTAGTTGTTATGAAAATAGTAGTGATTTTAGATATTGGAGCTATTCAGCTGTTTATTCTGGTCCTAGAGAACAAACACAGGGAATATAAGAAATTAAAACCTGTGAGCATGCAATTAGGGATATGCACGGGAGAAGTAGAAAGAGTCCCTGAAGTTTTGAATGAGTCCCTCCTCTCCTGTAATAGAGGGAAATGTATAACTTGTGGGAAACCTGAATTTTCTAAGTAAACAGTTTTCCAGTGCCAATTAAATGCTCTAGTACACATCTCTAAGATAATTGTATTGGTGGTCAAGGAATGAAATTCCGACACATAAATTAAAGACATTTGTTTAGACTTAGATGAAGCTGAGAGGTTTAAACTTCGAATTCCCCCAAATTTCTGTGCAAGCAGAAACAAGTCTTTCAATTCTCTTAGGGAATAATCTCTTATGTGAGGAAGAAAAATGAAAACAGAAAAAACTTGATTACATATGAGACAGTTGTTTCCCAAAACAAAGTCAATTCTTTCCCACTCCAACATCTCTGATTGTCTCTGTGTTGATAGTAAGAGCTTGATTCCACTTTATTGAAAGAGGTACAAAGATTGTTCTGGATGTGATGGTCTGTATAGCACATTCGATTAATACATATATTGAAGAAACCATGCTAATTGTACCTGGTGAGCAAAAAATAACAAGTTTCTTAGATGCATTAGGAAAAACATGTGTGATTGCTGTGGAAGATAGATCCCTCAGAAGTTAGAGATCTGCCTCACAGGTGAAGTTTTTTAAGTGCCCAATAATCTGAACCTAGTACCTTATACCACCATCACAATGCCTGGTAGGCTTCTTTGGATTACACAGGCAATATGTACCACATTCGGGCATGCTGCTCTGACACACTTATTAGGAATAATCTGCAGGGCAGAAAGATGAACCCAGAGAAATAAAATGTAGCAGCAGGTTCAGGCTGCAGGACAAGCTGAGACTTGAGTCTTAAGGTTCAGTAAACACAATGGTATTGGAAACAGCTGGGGCAGACAGAGATGCTAATGGAGAGCCTGTGGCAAGCTCCATGAAGAAAGTCACAAGACAAATGCCCAGTTCTTGAGGTCAGACCTTGACCCCTCTGCTGGCAATTCTTTTTCATTTCATTTCAATTCTTTTTCAGTAGCATCTGAGGCCAGCCACGGTGGCTTATGGATATAATCCCAGCACTTTGAGAGGCTGAGGTGGGCGGATCCCAAGGTCAGGACTTTGAGACTAGCCTGGCCAACATAGTGAAACCCCGTCTCTACTAAACATACAAAAATTAGCTGTGCGTGGTGGCACGTGTCTGTAATCCCAGCTACTCCAGAGGCTGAGGCAGGAAAATCACTTAAACCTGGGAGGTGGAGGTTGCAGTGAGCCGAGATTGCACCACTGCACTCCAGCCTGGGTAATAGAGTGAGGCTCTGTCTCAAAAAAAAAAGTAACACCTAACTTGCCACTGGGCCCGGGTATATACCTGAATTTCTGTTCAGAGGATACCACATAACTGCAACTTGATCTTCGCATCCTGAAGAAATGGGCATGTGTGATCCATTTTGCCATTAAATTTGACATGATCATCAACACACCATTGTAAAATAGAAATAGAATATACAGATCTTGGCCTTAGCATGTCTAGAGGACACAAAGTGCATAAGATGATAGCTCAGACTTCCATTGTACCTTTTCCTATAGCCTTGCTACCTCTCCTTTAACACACATTGTGGCCTCTTGTGTTGTCCCCTATTCTCCGTTAGTTTGAGAAGGTGGGGAAGGACGGGCTTCGTTTAGGAATGGTTATGCATGTTGTATGAGCACCAGCTGGAAGTGGATGGCTGCTACACAAAACCTCGCCCTGGAGTGGCCATGAAAGACACTGGTAAATTATATTAGATGGCATATCATGTTTTTCAACTTTATATGAAGTGAGAAGTTGCCTAAATCCAGAAACATATGGACAATGACTAATGGGTTGGTTAGCTGCCAAGGGCTGGAAAGAAGAGAACTGAACATTTGTGGTAGGGAGATGTGAGGCAAGTATATGGATGTGCATATAGGGTGAAGACACTTATGTCCTTCACTGATGTCCATCAGAGGGACAATCATCTTGGAAGAGACTCTTAATCATGAAAATGATGGCCCATCCTGTGGAAGTCGGGTAAGCTCTTTGCCCAGCCACACTGTTGTTTTCTTTGCAAGTCCACATGCAAAATGACTTTGGCGACAGCAGGGATGGAAGTTATGTCTGAGGTCAACAGCGAAGTCTTCTCATTGTTAAGACTAAACCAGCTAGGATCATTGCTGGTTTGTCAATTTGCCAGTAGCAGCAACTGAAAATTTTCTGATGGAAAATAATTAATGACATGGTCATGTTGGAAAGGCTCGTCAGAGAGGGGAAGTGCTTTGTTCTCACAGAGTAGACACGTATTCTGGATGTGGATTTGCATTTCCTATACTCAGTACTTCATCTGGTACTGCTACTACTAATTAGCTTGCAGAATTTATTACCATAGAATCTCTTGCAATGTTGCTTCCTACCAAGAAACACATTTTAGGGCAAAGGGACTATAGTAATGGATTCATGCCCCTGAAATTCACTCATCGAGACACGTACTCCCTCGCTCTAAAGCAACAGAGTAGATGAATGTTGAGGATATTAAGTAATCCAGTCACAGAAGGGCAAACACTGAATGATTCACTTACATGAGCTGTCTAAAATAGTCAAACTTGTAGAAGCAGGGAGTAGAGTGATGGCTCTCAGAGGCTGGATAGTAGGGAGAATGAGGAGTTGTTGCTGAATAGCTAAAAAATTTCAGTTAGGCATGAAGAATTAGAGATCATCTGTACAACACTGCACCTATAGTTAACAATAATAAGCTGTGTACTTAAAATATTAAGAGGGTATCTCATATAAAGTGTTCTTATCGCAATAAAATTAAAAAAATAAAAAACAATATCCCAGCCACTTTCACTAAATGCTCCTTCCATATCTTCATTTATTTTGTCCACACATCTTGGCTAGACAGAATTCTTTAGTTGGTGTGTATAGTGATAACCTGTAAACACAGAGTGGTTGAAAAGTATGTGAAACGTTCTGTAAAGGATCAGTAATACAAAGAGACCAAAATATTTACTCCATTATGTGTGAGGAAGTCCATCATAAAATAGTTAAGAAAAATCCTTAAAATTGAACATTTTTAGGATTTAGCATTCTCATTACTTCACAAATATTCTTAAGTTCTCATTTCACTTTAAAGAAACCAAAAAGAGAAATGATTCAGTAGGTCTATGCTCAAGATAATGGCCTTGGTCTCACTTTAAGAAAGTGGAAAATGAGTATGCATTTATCAATATTAAATCAAAGCTTGATTTTAAAGGTATGCGTGTGTCTTCTCTTTTCACTTTTTTTGCTTGGAATTTTTTTTTTTTTTTGCTTTAAGTAACTTTTTCAAGAAATGATAACTGTCATGAGAAACACTATAGTGTGATGAGTCTCAAAATTAACTTCCACATGAGGCCTCTTCCCTGAATTTTAGAATCAGTGTTAACTGCCAACGCAAAAGGTGAGTGGATACAGCCCACTGACCCTGGAAACCCAACATGTCTAAAGGTGAACTCATTACTTTGCCCGCATATCTGCTTTCTAGTGTTTTCGCCATCCCTTGGTAAAGCCAGTCTTCTCCTGGATACTCAGCCTAGTACCCTGGGAGTTGGCTTCGTTTTTCCATCTCCTTTACCTTCATTACATAAAACTCCACTAACAAGTTCTACTAAGTTTTATTTTAAATATTTCATAAAACCAATTTTTTCTTCCTATTTGTACTATGAATCCCTTAATCCTTATTCTCATTACCGACACCAGGAATACAGCCTTCTACTGGGCCCCCTACATTCAATATGTTTGCCTTTCAATACATTTTCAAACACCCTCAAAAATGTTCCATTAAAAATGCAGATCTTAAGATCTAACCCTCAAAATGGTGCTCTTTTCCTATAGGCTAAATACATAGTTTTTGTTATTGTCTTGTGTGTTTCTGCGACTATTTTCTTGACACCTCCCATTCTAGAAGCACTGAGTTCCTTGTAATTTCTGGACCTCACATATGCTTTTGCTAAAATCCTTGTGTTTTCACGAAGTGTTCTCCTCTGTTAATTCCAACCCTGCACCTAGCTAACCCTTACTTGACTCAGTTTGGGTGTCAGCCTTTGATGACCCTTTTCTGTCCTGAGCTCCAAGATACAATGAGAATTATAGATTTTTTATTCCTGTCATTATATTGCCTTAATGATTTGTCTACCTTTTCCATTTCTTATTTCTCTCATCACATGATCTTCGTTATTTACTTACTTAAATTCTGGGAACTTCATAAGAAAGGCATCTGTTGTGTTTACCATTTTATCCACCATATCAAGTACAGTATTTGAAATATAGTGGTCTCTTAATATATTTTTTGAATGAATGAACTGAAACATTATATGTTCTAATAAATATTTCTGCTATAGAATGGCTATCTATAGGGATAAAATGAGTTAAAAATAATATAATCAAAGCCCTTAAAAATAAAAAATGAAAGTTATAATTATTTTTCCATTTTAAACTTTTTTATCATTTTTTAAAAAAAACTTACAAAAGCCTAGCTTTAGCTATGCATTGTAGGGTCACAGATTTTATCTTATTGAGTCAATGATTTAAAATTTTGTAACACAAAACGCATAATCAATATTTTGCTAATCTAAGTAACTATTTTCACATTATTATTATCTTAATAATATGTTAATCTAACTATTTTCATATTATTATCTTAATATCTTAATAAATAAGATATTATATATCTTAATTAAGGAACTAAAACTCCCCAGAATGAATATCCCTTTTTAATTTATAGCCCTGAGTAATTACAGTCCTCATGTTTTCTTCTTTGTTTCTTTTGCTCCGTATCAACCAATAGGATCTCATGTTTGAAACATGTTTCTTCTGCAAGAAATGCTATCTATCCTTTGCCATCTTCTGCAGAAAGTAGAAGGACACTCATTTTTTACTAATGCTGCTCTGCACCTAAGTCTGTTAGATGTCCTACATTTTTACAGCCCCAGAGAATCAATACGAAGGGAGGGAGTGAACTCCACTTTGGTCAAACTTCCTCAATAGGAACGGCAGCACTGACATTTGTGACTTAATTTTGATAATAAAGTCAGCTAAAAGTTTGCTCTGCCAGTAATTTCAAAACTGTTAACTAACCAACTAACTAGACTAACAAATGATATAGTGGATCACTTTTTTATTTCTTTTACTTTACTGTGACTTATAATTCTTTCAGTAGAAGCAATAAAGTTTTACATAATTGCCAAAATTGAACAGCAGAGGGCAGAAAATAGCAAACTCTGTTTCTTGTGGCACACTATTCTAGTCAACTGTTGACCTAGTAGTTTTGAAATTTTCAAAATTGATTAGTGGTCAATTTGAGATACATATTCTTGAAATAGGAAGTTGTTACATGTTAAAAAATAGAGCTGTGTACATTCAAAATATAAATTCCAGCATTTTTCCATGTATTTGTATAAACAACCATTTACTGTAGTCAATTTAAACTTACTACACTTACATTGACAGGATTCTGTGCTTGAAACATACATGCTATTAAAACATTATAATAAATTTGAAGAAAAATCATGATAATATTAATGTAATTATGCTGATATAGGAAGTAAGTTTCAAAATATGTGAAACGTATATACATAACTAACTTGTGTGTATACACAGAATAGCAGTGGAATTACAAGTAATGCTTGCTAAAATTTTTATTTCCATCTTATATATATAAATTATAATTGGCCACTAGACAGTAATACTTTTCTTGAGCTCTTACATATTAGTTACTATACTTTATGATTCAGCAAATTCTTATTTTTACAGCATTTGTTTTTTATAGAATGTAACTCAGACAATTTTGAGTTCATATCAGCCCTTGACTTTAAAACAGGTTAAGATGAAAATAGTTTGAAAACATTCTTATCTTTTAAAATTCAATTTACCTCAACACACATTTTAAAGATCAAATTTTTTTCATACTCACTCTTCCCTTCTCTCTGTCCTTGCTCTCTTCAATTCTAAGTTACTTTCTGTAAAATTAAAGTTTTCCTGTGGAAACAAGTGAATCAAGAAAAAAAAAGAAGATAACTGCAGAGGCATTTTCAATTTTGCCCTGTTCTGTTATGAATGCTTTTACATTAAAAATTTTTAAATAGGGAATAGTTTCTAATCATTTTTATGCTTTACATCTCAAATGATTAAATATGTATGGTTTATTTAATTATTCTTTATGTCCTAATTTTGAATATATATGCAAGTTATGTCTCTTAATTTTATTTATTTTTAATCAATTTATTGTAATTTTGTTTTTTATATACTACTTTTATTAATGCATTTTGATTTAGAAGACCTGCTTTATAAATAGTGTGGAGTACTTATACTAAAAAAATTCTAAGTGATAAAATTAAGAGATATTTTAGCCTGTAGTTTATAAGCTTAATAATAGATTACAGCTATTCTCACTTCCTTGTTTAGGACTATATCAAAAAGAGAGAAAGGACATAACTTGAAATGATGGCAATATAGGATCCAAGAGCCATAGAAGCCACTTTTGCTCATCATTTTTAAAATGGGGAAATTGAGGCCAATGTGATTAAGAAGGAAGCATAAGATAACACAGTCAGCAATTAAGCTGCAAGCACAAGAAGGCAGCCTGATATACTCTCATGGCATTTGGAATACTAGGAGTTCTCCTTTTAGTGCTGTAAGCTCCAGTCTCTCTCTTTCCGGAAACAGTCCCTTGCTGTCAATCTTCCTTTATTTGTTTAAACCACTAAAGCCATGCAACTTGGGGGCTTCTCTGAGTTCACACAGGGAATTATTAGAGCAGATTCCCAGGAATGGGCTTGGAAAGCACCCTGAAGAGCATAATTTTCACATGGACAAGTCCAATCATCCGTCTCCCCATCAACACTCTTCTCCCAAACTTTTAATATCTAACCTCATCTTTCTTTCCCAGTGGCCCGCGTGTTCAACACAGCGAGGTACTTTCTTTAGGCAGTGATTTTTCCAAACCCAGGGCCAAAACGTGATGGGGAAACAAATTTCTAAGTAAGTCTCTGGGAAAGGATCCGCATCTCTGTGGCCTTTCTAGACTAGCTTCATCTTCTAATCACTTCCCTCTGATAGATTTTCCTTAAACCAGTCTCTTGCATTCAATCTGTATAAAGTAAGGGCTTCTAGGAAATCAAGTCTACATGACCCTACAACGGGAGGGATTGCAGTGAAAGCTGCGAGAAAGACCCGTGCGCCCTATGGCTAGGCAAGTCAGCATCACAGCCCAGTTGAATAATGCAAAATGTTTCAAAGGTTCCATCTTGATCTTATAAGCGGCTTTAGCATTTAAAGATAGAACTTGGGGTTCTCCCCGGATCCTGGCTACATCCCGTGAAGCCCAAGTCCAGAATTTTGGAACATTTCCTCTATGGGTGCTTTGCTTGCTTGTTTGCTTTCAGCTGGGTCAGGTGAGGTGGATGACAGGGCTTCTGTATTGCTAAATGCGTTTTCACAGGAGATGGAAGGTAAAAATCAAATTTACTTTTAACGTAAGACAGCAGGGCCTGGTGAGAGGACGCTTCGCCGCCAACAATTAGCAATTTGGCTTCTGCACAGCAGCCGGAAATCAGCTTTGCTGCATTTGTTCCAGGTTGGAGCATCTCCGCAGCAGCTGTAACAGTGGCAAGAAGGTAGCTCTCGGCTGGGAGCGAGGCGCTGTCCTCGGTGCTGAAAGGCAGAAGAGCGCGGTGGGCGCGACAGCCCGGGAGACCCGAGGTCTCGCGGAGGGACAGCGGCTACCGGCCCCGCAGCGCCGCGCACGCGATGCGTTCACGGCGGTGCGGGGTGCCGGGCGCCGTGCGGGGGAGGGGGCGCGCGCGCCCGCTGCCTGCTGCGAGTCGCGCACGCGCGCCGGGGACTGCCTGCCCCTCTCTGTGACTTGCCTGTGTGTGTGCGTGTGTGTATGTGTGTGTGTGTGCGCGCGCGCGTGAGTGAGAGAGGAGAGAGGGAGAAGAGAGCGCGAGAGAGGGTGAGTGTGTGTGAGTGCATGGGAGGGTGCTGAATATTCCGAGACACTGGGACCACAGCGGCAGCTCCGCTGAAAACTGCATTCAGCCAGTCCTCCGGACTTCTGGAGCGGGGACAGGGCGCAGGGCATCAGCAGCCACCAGCAGGACCTGGGAAATAGGGATTCTTCTGCCTCCACTTCAGGTTTTAGCAGCTTGGTGCTAAACTGCTGTCTCAAAATGCAGAGGATCTAATTTGCAGAGGAAAACAGCCAAAGAAGGAAGAGGAGGAAAAGGAAAAAAAAAAAAGGGGTATATTGTGGATGCTCTACTTTTCTTGGAAATGCAAAAGATTATGCATATTTCTGTCCTCCTTTCTCCTGTTTTATGGGGACTGATTTTTGGTGTCTCTTCTAACAGCATACAGATAGGTAGGTATCCTTTGTGCTATGCTTTTGAATTGTGCATAATTTGGTGGTAATCTTTGTTCATAGTGTACAAATTAATTCATGTCATGTAGACTTATGTCATACCTTGACTGCATTCCAGATTTAAACTACCTAGAATATACATGTTTTTCTTAGGATGAAGCAAAAGGAAACGACTACGCCTTTTATACAATCGAGGAAAAGGTCCTCTCATTTCTGATCCCCAAATTTTATTAATTTTGCCTTAGCGACATTTTCCAGTTCGCTCAGATTCTCTTGGGGTCTGAAGGCAAAGCTTGTGATTACAAGAAAAGATGAAGGTTTCTGGCCGCCTACCTCCCCCTCAGACTCTCATCTGGGTCTTGACCCCTTGGCTACCTTTTGGATATTCGGCCCCCGCTGTCCGAGTCTGTAGATGTGTTTATTCGGCCTATTAGCTTGAATAAGAGACTCTTGGACTGTTGGGCGCTAGCGCGTGCCCCTCCTTTCCCTCCCGGACACTGACACTGTTCTTTTTGCTTGCTGTTTGTTCTTTGCAGGGGGGCTATTTCCTAGGGGCGCCGATCAAGAATACAGTGCATTCCGGGTAGGGATGGTTCAGTTTTCCACTTCGGAGTTCAGATTGACACCCCACATCGACAATTTGGAGGTGGCAAACAGCTTCGCAGTCACCAATGCTTGTAAGTAATGAATATTCATGCCTTTTGGGTGCTGCACGCGGAAAGCTAGCAAGTGTGAGTGTGTGTGTGCGTTTCTGGGGTGGTGTGTGTGCGTTTCTGTGTGTCAGTGTGTGGGTGTGAGTGACTGCACACGCGCCTGCGTGTGACGGCGTAGAGAGAAGGTGGCTGTAATCTCGGGGACCCCCGCTGGCTGGAGGGGGCTGAAGAGGGGGCGAAAGGAATTGAAGAGTGTGCGCATTAGGGAGCTGGGGTGAGGGTTGAATCGGGGGAGGGCTGCTTCCTTGGGTTCAAGGGGTTTTCGCTCCTCTTGAGTGCTTCAGGAGAAGCCCTCCCACCTCGCTCCCTATCGCGCGCCTGTTGGCTCCCTGTCCACAGAGAACACGTTGTTCCCCAGGGCGCGCAGTCGGGCTGTTGGACAGATCCCACGGGGGACTGCCGGAGCCCGGTGGCCGCCTGCCCCGGCAGCTGCAGCTCGCGCCCGCGGCCCAGGGTTTAGATCCGCAGCGCCGGCTGGGCTCACCCTCCCGCCCTCGCGAGCCCCACTATCTCCTCTTCGGGACAAGTTGTTGAAATGGTTCTGGAGTTGGGATGGGGCTGTTACATAACGCCCACCCGAGGGGCGAGGAGCGGGACTGACGCACGCCCAGGCCGGCCGGCTGGCGTGGGGGTGGGGCGGCGAGGAGGGGCGGGGGGCGCGCTGTCAATTTCTCTGCTCAGTTGCGCTTCCGCCTAAGTTGGAGGGGGTGAGGCAGCCGGGGGCTCCGGGGTCAGCCGGCCAGCCAGGCGCGCTTTCTTCTCAGGTAGCTGGGCTTCAGCGGGGACAGCCGGGGCAAAGGACTGGAAAGCTCCGGCCGAGTTTGAAAATCTGAAGTCGCTGATCAGCCATTTTAGTATTTGCAGTGCTCCATATTAGCCCTCTCACTCCGCACAGTGCTCCGGGACTCGCTAGGAAGCTCCGTGGCGGCTTCACATAAAGTACTAGAAGCCGAACAATTAGGGATCTAAAAGGATTGGTGGGGAGGCCGGCGGGCCCCGGGCCCCGCGCTCGCGCCCCCGCGCAGGCGTGGGCAGGCAGTTGCGGCCACTGTGCCTTCCTGCCCTCTTCCCGGCAGCTGCCATCATTTCCTGCCGGCTGCTCTGGGGTGATTCTTTCCTGCCCCATGTTCGCAGTCTTTATTTCATAGATAACAATTTGGGGGAGATTTGCGGATGGCTGACTTCCCAGTTTGGCTACACTGCGAAGGGGTTTGGGGAAAATTACCACAGGAAGAGCCCAACTGCAGCTTTCCCACGTCACAAAAACAACTGGTTGCCATCCCACCTCCCTATTTTAAGCTTTAGTCGTATATTCCGTGATTGAGCTTGGTTATCTTGTCAGGTCCATCATCAACTCCTGCAACTACTGTCACCTGGAAGAATGAAGAAACAATTTTCTTTGACTAATAGAATAGGGGCATTGTGTGGTAATACTAGATGCTTAGGATTTAATTGTTTATAATGGACCTCTTTAAGAAGGTTTCACTGCTACATATTTTCTTCAAATGTTGATGCCAAGTTAGAAAAGAAGGAAGAGCGGATGTGGGGATACAGAAGGAGACGGGGAGGGGGTGGAGAGAGAGAGAGAGAGAGAGAGAGAGAGAGAGAAAGTGGATTTGCCGCTTTGAAAAACGTCCGTAATAGAATATCTCAGAAAATTTTAGTATATGACATACAAAGAAATCGACTTAATTAAAATTTGAAGGCTTTTATATTTGACCTATTTACCCAGCAGATTTAGACTCTTCATTTCATATCAGTAAGTTCCCATTTTTCCTGAATTACAAGTTTGTCATGCAACTGTTCTGATTGTATGCAATTGTATACTCACGTGAAAATGCTTTGAAAAGTAATGAATCCTAAGAAAAGACTGTGGTTATGGGAAGTACGTAGATTTTAAATGTTAAGTGAAAGTATTGACAGCTATACTTTGTGAAAACAATGATTGCCAAGTTCACTCGGGTGAAAATAATGAGAAAAACTTTCTGAGAAAATAACGTGTCCATTGACAAAATGAATATTACTTGAAATGCTGAATTACTATAGTGGAGCCTTGTAAAGATAAAAGACTGTAGTTAGTTTAGGTTGTTAGGTTTAGATACTCATTCTCAAGATTTTTAAACGATTTTTTTTAAAATAGAATTTTTTCTGAAATAAAATATATAGCAAGAATATGTATATATATTAGACACATACATAAATTCATGAATTTGCAGTGAACACATTCATGTAATCAACATGTGGATTTCTTTAAACAAAATTGCCACACAATTTAATATGTCCATAGTTCTGAGAAGCTGGAATAATCAAGCCTTCATTTGCACAGTTCTTTTCCCCTCCTCAGGAAGTGAAGCTGAAATAAATATGTGCACATTTCCAGATCCTAAAATTACTCCTGCATGAATTATTATAGGATGGTAAAACAAATTATTTTTAGGAACAGAACACGTTTTAAAGATGACAACATGAGAATTCACAATCATGGCATTTGCAACCCCATGTTATAAGTAATCCTACTGATTGCTAAAAAGAACTAGGAGGGTATGGTGACAGAAGAGAGGCTCATTGGATAGAAATTTCTGGAGCTGACATCGACTCATTGACTGGGAAAATTACTTAACATATTTGTGATTCTGTTTCTTTATCCTCTTAGACATTTCAAAATGCAGAGATTGCAAAATGAAATAGAGAATTGGTATCCTTCATTTTTTTTTCTTTATGGTTTTTGTGCTATGGACAATAGAAAATGTAAAATTAGTTTAACTCTTTTGAGACATAATGAGAGAGAGAGGGACAGGGAGAAATACTTATGTAAACTGCAATCACAAAGTCAAGAAATGGATGAAAATCTCCAGTGTCAAATTTGTCAAGATGGGTCTTGATCATTTAAATCCTGCTTAAGGTTTTTCTCCAATGCTTATTCTCTGTTTTCTTGCCTTTTTATTCAGGGAAATCTATGATTATTTTCATAGTAAGTGGAAGTAATAGCATTAAATACATTGATGGCTAAGATGAAAACATCTTCTTCCCATTTCCACCAGAAATCTCAGGAGTTTTGCTATTTAACGACATTATTAGATGATATGTGTTATCATGCAATGCTCTTAAAATAGCTTGCTCTTCCAATCATAAAAATCCAACGGGGCTAAATTGGTGTATTTAAAAAGTAAGAGTGTTTTATACCTTAGCAACATAATTTCAAAAAGAAAAAGTTATTAGTTTACTAATTTAATTTTATTCCTGAAATGGAGGAAATAATTGGGAAATGTTGAAGTTGACGTTGATATAAGGATCCAGGGAGATTCACTGAATGGGTTAAGGTTATACAAAGAAAATGAAGTCATTCTATTCTGAACTGGGTAAAATGACTGTGTGCCTCTTACTGAGCTCCCACATCCTTCCCTTTCACAATCACAGTGGGATAATGCAAGTACCTACATATTTTGTTCCGTTTGTTTCCATGGGTACCTGAGGCAGTAGAACAGATTTTCAATTTCTTTCCTTTTTTCTCCATCCTTCCCTTTTCCTTTTCCTCTCTCCCCTTAATCATTTTTTCCATTCCTCCCTCCCATTCTTCTTAGCTAAAAAGAGTACTAAGAATTTTTTTTTCCTTAAGGTTGTTCAAACGTATGCCTTCGTTGTGAAAAATACAAAGCAGAAAACCAGAAAAAAAAATCTGAGACTAGTATCTGATGTGTTCAGCAGTTGAAGCCAGTGATGGGTCCCAGGAATACAATCATTCATTCAATAAATATTTAGCGGATGCCTTCAAGGCGTCAGAGAATAAATGACTGCTTTTTTCATGTTAACATTTTTTTTTCTAGCCTTTTCCCTCTATGATCTTTTAAATAGTTTTCAAAACCTGTAGGCCTTCATGCCTTTAGTATGCATTGGTAGCTATGGTCTTGTCCAGGATCCTTAGTATGAGGATATGAGGGAATTCCAGTAGTTCTTAAACACAAGCAGTTTAATACAATAACTAAAAAATTCTGCCTTCTTGTGAAAATAGTAATTTTGCTATATATATGTGTGTGTATATATATATATACACACACATATATATAGCAAAATTACTATATATATATATAACAAAATTACTATATATATATATATATATATATCAGGTATTATATGTAATTAACTAACAAAACAGTAGCAAATTTTAGGAAAATACTAAGTATTTTTACATTGTAAAGGATTTTCGTAAACTTTTATGCTAGCTAGCTAATAAAGTTTGCTTAAAATAAAACTGTGTAAAAGGGCTAGAAACATGAGTACTTGATTCTATAGGGTTTGAAAATTAAAAGTATTAAATATTGAATTTACTCTTCAAAATCTTCTCTATTTCTTTTGATGACTGAATTTAACAAATGGTTATTAGTCTAAAAATAATTTAATAGTTTTACATTTCAATTCCATATAATAAAATAAATCATAAAAAATATTATATTGAAGGAAACAGCAAATAAAAATCTACTTTCTCTCTAAGCCAGCAGATGGAGATGTTGGAGAAAATATTGTTGTTTCATAAAACTGTTGCGCACACCAAATACCTTTTAAAACGTGGTAAACAAATTTATATGGATAAAATGAAAAAAAAAGACATCTAATTTGAAGAAAACTATTCAAAATGCTGTCTGGAAAATAATGTTCATTACCTTTTAAAAATAGATTACCCTATGTTTTATTTTTTAGAAGTTAAAGACTGTTAGAATAGATTGTAAATGCTCTTGGAGGAGAGAGAATTCTAAAATTGTATTTTTTCAATTTTTAAATCTTGATTCTCCAGCTATCATTTTTGAGCTGCATTTATTATCATTAAATTTTAGTCACAAATTACTGAGATTGTGTATCTGTGTTCATAAAATTAATTGATGTTTGCTAAGCCTTTATTACACTTGGATGAATGGACTTCTGTGTGTGTGTATTTATAGTTATAATTATAGAGTGTAAGTAGTTACAGA